GAATTGAAATTGATTCCACAGCAACAGGGTTTTTTTTTGAAACTTTTTTTTTTTTTAACTTTAGATGAAGGTTTACAGAACAAACTAGCTTCTCATTAAATAGTTAGTACACATTGTTTTATGACATTGGTTAACAACCCCTATGACATGTCAACACTCTCCCTTCTCGACCTTGGGTTCCCTATTACCAGCTTTCCTGTCCCCTCTTGCCTTCTAGTCCTTGCCCCTGGGCTGGTGTGCCCCTTTAGTCTCATTTTGTTTTATGGGCCTGTCAAAATCTTTGGGTGAAGGGTGAACCTCGAGTGACTTCATTACCGAGCTAAAAGGGTGTCTGAGGGCCATACTCTTGGGGTTTCCCCAGTCTCTATCAAGCCAGTAAGTCTGGTCTTTTTTTGTGAGTTAGAATTTTATTCTGCATTTTTCTCCAGCTCTGTCCGGGACCCTCTATTGTAATCTCTGTCAGAGCAGTCAGTGGTGGTAGCCGGGCACCATCTAGTTGTACTGGACTTAGTCTGGTGGAGGCCGTGGTAGTTGTGGTCCACTAGTCCTTTGGACTAATCTTTCTCTTGTATCTTTAGTTTTCTTCATTCTCCCTTGCTCTCGAAGGGGTGAGACCAGTGGAGTATCTTAGATGGCTGCACACAGGCTTGGAAGACTCCAGACGCTACTGACCAAAGTAGAATGCAGAACATTTTCATTGTAAACTATGTTATGCCAATTGAGCTAGATGTTCCCTGAGACCATGGTCCCCACAGCCCTTAGCCCAGCAATTGGGTCCCTCAGAGAGTTTGGATGTGTCTATGGAGCTTCCATGACCTTGCCTTATACAAGTTGTGCTGGCTTCCCCAGTGTTGTGTACTGTCTTACCCTTCACCAAAATTACCACTTATCTATGGTCTAGTGTTTTTCCATCCCTACCCCTCCCCTCCCTCATAACCATCAAAGATTGTTTCTTTTTGTGTGTAAACCTTTTCATGAGTTTTTACAGTAGTGGTCTCATACAATATTTGTCCTTTTGTGATTGACTTATTTCACTCAGCGTAATGCCTCCAGATTCATCCATGTTACGAGATGCTTCACAGATTCATCATTGTTCTTTATCGTTGAGTAATACTGCATTGTGTGTATGTACCATAGTTTGTTTATCCATTCATATGTTGATGGACATCTAGGTTGTTACCACCTTTTTGCTATTGTGAACAATGCTGCAGTGAACATGGGTGTCTTAGTCATCTATTGCTGTTACAACAGAAATACCACAAGTGGATGGCTGTAACAAAGAGAAATTTATTTCTTCACAGTAAAGTAGGCTAAAAGTCCAAATTCAGGGTTTCAGCTCCAGGGGAAGGCTTTCTTTCTGTCGGCCTTCTCATCAATGTTCCCCCGGACTAGGAGCTTCTCCGTGCAGTGACCCTGGGTCCAAAGGACATGCTCTGCTCCTGGCACTGCTTTCTCAGTGGTATGAGGTCCCCAAGTCTCTCTGCTCACTTCTCTCTTTTATATCTCATGAGACTGCCTCAGGACACAGTCCAATCTTGTAGATTCAGTCCTGCCTCACTAACACAACTGCCGCCTATCCTCCCTCATTGACATCATAGAGGTGGGATTTACAACATATAGGAAAATCACACAATACTGTGAATCATGGCCCAGTCAAATTGATACACACATTTTTGGGGGGACATAATTCAATCCATGACAATGGGCGTGCATATGTCTATTTGTGTGATGACTCTTATTTCTCTAGAATATTTCCTAGGAGTGGGATTGCTGGATCATATGGTATTTCTATTTCTAGCTTTTTAAGGAAGCACCATTTCATTTTCCAAAATGGTTGTATCATTGTGCATTTCCACTAGCAGTGCATACAGACTCTCCAACATTTGTTATTTTCTGTTTTTTTGATTCGTGCCAGTGACGCTGGGGTGAGATGGTATCTCATTGTGGTTTTGATTTGCATTTCTCTAATGGCTAGTGATCGTGAGCATTTCCTCATATGTCTGTTGGCCGCTTGAATGTCTTCTTTGGTGAAGTGTCTGTCTGTTTCCTTTGACCATTTTTTAATTGGATTATTTGTCTTTTTGTGATAGAGGTGTTGGATTTTCTTGTAGATTTTAGAGATTAGACCTTTGTTGGATTTGTCATAGCCAAAATTTTTTTATTAGTCTATAGGTTCTCTTTTCACTCTTTTGGTGAAGTCTTTTGATGAGTGTAAATGTTTAATTTTTAGAAGATCCCAGTTATCTAGCTTATCTTCTAGAGTTTGTATGTTGTTGATTATGGTTTGTATCCTGTTAAGGCCATGTATTAGGGCCTCTAGCATTGATCCTATTTTTTCTTCTATGAACTTTATGGTTTTTGGCTTTATATTTAGATCTTTGACATATTTTGAATTAGTTTTTGTGTATGGTATGAGGTATAGGTCCTGTTTCATTTTTTTTTTGCAGATGGACATCCAGTTTTGCCAGCAAAAAAGATTATCTTTTCCCCATTTGATGGACTTTGGGCCCTTGTCAAAGATCACGTGACTATAGGTGGATGGATTTACATCTGGGTTCTCAGTTCTGTTCCACTGGTCAATATATCTGTCTTTGTACCAGTACCAGGCTGTTTTGACTACAGTAGCTGTATAGCAGGTTCTGAGGTCAGGTAGTGTAAGCCCTTACTTTATTCTTCTTCTTCAATAGTGCTTTACTTACTCGGGGCTTCTTTCCTTTCCGTATAAAGGGAATGATTAGTTTTTCCATTTCTCTAAAGAATGTTGTTGGTATTTGGATCAGGATTGCATGGTATTTGTAAATTGCTTGGGTAGAATTGTCATTTTCACAATGTTGAGTCTACCTATCCATGAGCATGGTATATTTTTCCATTTATGTAGATCTCTTTTGGTTTCTTACAGTAGTGTTTTGTAGATATCTTTATATAGGTCTTTTACACCCCTGGTTAGATTTATTTCTAAGTATCTTAATTTTTTAGGGGCTATTATAAATGGTATTGTTTTCCTGATTTCCTTTTAATCATTCTCTTTACTGGTGTATAGGAATCCAACTGATTTTTGTGTTTATCTTGTATCCTGCTACCTGCTGAATCTTTCTATTAGTTCCAGTAGTTTTCTCGTGGAGTCTTAAGGCAATTGGTTTTAAGAAGTCCTGGTGGCGTAACGGATAAGCACTCAGACGCTAACAGAAAGGTTGGAGGTTCAAACCCACACAGCAACTCTGCAGGAGAAAGGGCTGACAATCTGCTTGTAAAGATTAGTCAAGAAAATCCTATGGGGCAGTTTCACTCTGTCACACAGACTCGTTATGAGTTGGAATCGACTTGATGGCACTCAACGGCAACACAACAGGGACTTTGTGGGTGGGGTTGTTGCTGTTGTTGGGTGCCATTGAGTCAATTCCAACTCATAATGACCTTACATATAACAGAATGAAACGTTGCCAGCTCCTGCACCATCCTCACAATCATTGTTATGTTTGAGCCCATTGTGGCAGCCACTGTGTCAGTCTATCTCACTGAGGGTTTCCCTGTTTTGTGCTGACCACCAAAAAGATATGTCTGAGTCCTAACCCCCAGCACCTGTGAGTGGGACCTTGTTTAGAAATAGAGTCTTTGCAGACATCATTAAATGAAGGATCTTGAGATGAGATCATCCTGGATTTAGAGTGGGCCCTGAATCCAAAGACAAATACATAAATAGATACCTGCCATCCACTTGCCTCCAACTCACGGTGACCTTATATACAACAGAGTGAAATGTTTCCTGGTCCTGCATCATCCTCACTATTGCCAGCATGTTTGAGTTCATCATTGCAGGTGTTGTGTCAATCCATCTCACCCAGGGTCTCCCTCGCCCTCACTGGCCCTATACTTCACCAAACATGAGGTCCTCCTCCAGCGATTGATCCCTCCTGATGACAAGTCAAAAGCAAGGGAGTTGGATAATGTTCTCTTGTGATCCACAGGTTTTTCATTGGCTGATTTTCAAAAGTAGATTGTCAGGTTTTTCTTCCTAGTCTGTCTTAGTCCGGAAGTGCTGCTGAAACTTGTCCACCATGGGTGACTCTGCTGGTATTTGAAATACTGGTGGCATAGCTTCCAGCATCACAGCAACACACAAGCCACCACAATGTGACACATTGACCCATAGGTGGTGGAAGTCCAATGACAAGTGTCATAAGAGAAAGGAGAGGGAGCGCCTCCAGAAGGAACCAACCTTGCCAACACCTTGATCTCAGACTTCTGGCCCAGAACTGCAAGAGGATAAATTTCTGTTGTTTTAAACCACCAAGTTTGTGCCCATTTGTTATGGCTACCCCAGGAAAATAAAACATGTGCCTATTTGTCATCTTGCTGACTTGTTCCTGAGTCCCTGGCAGGTTGGGAGTTTTGTCTGTTTTGTTTAATGTGCTTAATAAATATTTGTTGCCTGCACATGTATTAAGTGCTTACTATGTGCCAGATACTGTTCTAAATGCTTTTTCATGGCTTAATTCGTTTCATCATCACCCAACCTTCTAGAGAAGGTACTATCATTATACCCATTTTACAGTGGGGTAAACTGAGGCTCGGAGAGGTATGAATGGGGTTCCAACCTACCAAAACACGTGCCTTGAATAAGTATCAAGTTCGATCATGAGAATTAGAAGAGTAGGGGCCCCGAAGGTCGACATTGGGCCGGTCTCAACAACCACTGGGCCTCGAGATTTCTCCATTAGCAAACGAGAAGCAATACCCGCTTTGCCCACAGCATGGCGCCGAAGGAGAGTGGGGAGGGCGTCGGCCTGCGCATGCGTCCTTACCCACAATGCTTCTTGCCCCGGCGCGCCTTGCTTCACGCCCTTTCGCAGCACTCGTCGTAGAACTTTCCGGCTTTCCCGGTGGGAACACGGCTTCTCCCCGCCCCTAATTGTAACCAGGCCCCGCCCATCTCCGCGAGGATTGGTTGTCCGTCCCCTAACTCCCGTGGTGATTGGCTCTTGTCTCTGCCAATCCTTTTTAGCCTTGTGGCGGGCTGTGGGCTGCTAACAGGGAAAGCGGTGGTGGCGGCGGCTGCCGCGGCGGCGGAAGTGGCCTGCGAGCCCGGTCCTTGCCGGCACCATGGTGAGGGGAGGGCGACGACGGGGTCGCGACGGCAGGGTTTCGCCGGGAGGTGGGGGGCGCGGCCGTCGGGAGCCCTCGGGGCAGCACAGGGCCGGCGTGCAGTCCCGTCCTCGAGCCCCGCCCCCGGGCTGGAGGCGGGAAACTGAGGCCAAGCGGGCAGGTGGCTCTCCCACGTTCCCCAGCACGTCGGTCTCGGGCGATTTAGAGCTAAACAGACATAGAATCATCCTTTAGCGGCCTAACCGCAGTCTTCCCATTCCGCAGAGGGGGAAACTGAGACCCGAGCGGGAGTGAACGCGCCTAGTGTACCGTGAATGCTACAAAATGGGTTTTCCGGCGGGGAAGGAGTTCCGAGCGCGTCGAGTGGAAACTGGGTGTAGGAAAGCAGGGGGCCAGTGTGAGTTCTTTAGCTAAGCGGATTCCGGGGATTTCAGGGCTGGAATGTGCCCAGCGTGTTAGCAGCATCTCTTCCCCCGCCTCACGTTTTCAAACAGGAGAACAGGCCCAGAGAAGGGATTGGCTCCCTCAGGGTCACACAGCCTGTCGTTCCTAGGTGAATTCGAGCTCGGAGACCACTAAATGAATCTTCCTGGTTCACAGAATGAAAAGCTGAGGCCCAGGGAGAGTGCACGTGCTTTCCCAGGGCTACGATCCCAACAGACAGGCAGGGAAATGGAGGCCCACGCAGAGGAATTTCAGAGCTGGGTGCTTCCTGGGAGAGGGCCCTCCCGTTTTAGGGAGAGAAATCGAGGCCCTCGCTGGAGAAGTGACTTCTAGTGTCCACTCTGGGCGACGGAATTCTGTACTTGGGAGTTCTCCTAGGTGTCACTCCACATTTCTCAGAGCTAAGGGCTAGCGAGAGCTCGCCCTAAATCCTGCTGGCTGGTATGGAGATCAACAGAAGGGAGCAGGTCTCTCTGCTGGACAGAGACAGAGGTAGCATGAGGGCTTGGGCAGAACCAGAAGGACCTGCCTCTTTAAGCTTCATGACGTAGGATATTTGTTTTAATCCCTGACAGGTCCCTCAGAGACTAGAGCCAGGACCAAACCTGTTGCCTTGCAGTGGATTCCAACTCATGGTGACACTGTGCGTTACAGAACAGAACTGTTGTACTGCATAGGATTTTCTTGGCTGTAATATTACGGAAGTAGATCACCAGGCCTTTCTTTTCAGAGCACTGATGGCCAGGTTCTAACTGCCAACCTTTAGGTTAGTAGTTAAGCACAAATAGCTTGTGCCACGCAGGGACCTGGAGATTAGAATAGGGCCTGTGCAAAGTGTGGACTCAGTGCTGTTCCCACCTGTGAGACGAGGAGTCTTCAAGCCCCGATCCTCCAGGTGTTTCCTAGCTCAGAGAGTGGATACACTGAGACATTCACCCTGTGGTCAGGCACAGGCTGGAGGGAGGGTCTCTCCTGACCTTCCACAAGCCTTCCTGGATGAGGAGCCATTGGGACTCTTCCTTAGTGGGTCTAGACCTGAGCTCCAGGCCCCAGAGAGCTGAGGAAGGAATTCTCTTTCCTGGAACTTCTGTGATTTTCTACCTCACGGCAGCCTTGTCTCCCCTGAACCAGCCCTCTCCTGTCTTACTCAGCACTTCCATGCATCTTCCTCGTTCCCACGGGATTTCACGTCCTTGAGGACCCTTCCTCTTGCCTCTCTCTCCAGAGTTTGGGGACAAGAATGCAGAAGGTTGCAAGATAGGGCCACTGCCCACAGAGAGCTGCCTTGGCTAGGGGTCGGCAACCCCAATCCTGGCGTCTCCACTCTCCCATCTGTAGTTGTTGTTTGCTGTTGTCAAGTTGACCCCAACTCGTAACAGCTTTATGTACAACAGAACGAAACATTGCCTAGTCCTGCATCCTCCTCACAATCACCAGCGTGTTTGAGTCCATTATTGTGGCTGTTTTGTCAGTACCTCTCACCGAGGGTCTCCCTCGCCCTCGCTGGCCTTATACTTCACCAAACTTGAGGTCCTTCTCCAGCAATTGATCCCTCCTGATGACATATCGAAAGCAAGCAAGTTGGACAATATTCTGTTGTGATCCATAGGGTTTTCATTCACTGATTTTCGAAAGTAGATTGCCAGGCCTTCCTAGCTGTCTTAGTCTGGAAGCTCTGTTGTAATCTGTCCACCATGGGTGACCCTGCTGGTATTTGAAATGCCGGTGGCATAGTTTCCAATGTCACAGCAACATGTAGGACACCACAGTGCGACAAACTGACAGATGAGTGGTGGTCTCCCACTCTAAGTCCCTCCTTCTTCTCTGTGAGGGGACAAGAATATCCTGGCTCGTCCTGCGTGCTTCCTTGGGGAATGTGCATCTCTCCCTTATTTATTCAGCAAATGTTTACCTTGTTCCTCTCCTGTGCCTGGCACCAGGCTCAGCAGAGTCCACGCCCTCTGAATTCTCCAGTCTAGCAGAGACCTGGCATTTCCAGTCTCGCCAGGGAGGCAGTTGATAAACAAGATAATTAGAGACTGGGTAAGTCTGGATGGTGACAAACAGGGTACGTGGAGAAGTGGAAACCTCACCTCCTGGACAGGGTTATTAGGAATGTGCACAGACGCCGCAGGCGGATCAGGGGAGGGGCAGAGCAGGCAGCCTGGGTGGGTGTGGGGAGCAGGAGGCTGAGTAGCTGGAGCCAGGTGGGCCTGGCTTAGGAAGCACCAGGAAGCCTCTTGGAGCATGGTGAGCAGGGCGAAGCTGACCCCATTTGTGTCCCAGACATTCTCTGCACCTGCTTGGTAGGGAGGGGACTGTCCTCCCTGGCTGCGTTGGGCCATGTGGTAGCCTGAGGGTGGCTGTCACAGGTGTGGGGATTGTGTGAATGCCACAGGAGGATATCCATCATGTGCACACAGCAGACATTAGCCTCCCTCAGCCTTCCCGGGGCCTGGCCATGTCCCCAGCAGGTCCCTCCCTTCTGGGTACAAGAGGCCCTGTGAAGTGAGGGGGTTGTGGCCTGATGTCCACTCTCAGCCTCCCAGAGCCAGCCTGACCAGCTCCCTGCTGGCAGTCTTGGAGGAGGGCCTGGTACCTTCCAGGGTTCTCATCCCACGGAGTTCAGGTCCCCCACATGCCAGGAAAGCAACCACCGTGCCGCAGTCGAGGGTGGTGTCCAGAGTCCATCAGACCCGTGACTCCCGCACCCATTGGGGCAGAGTTTCTCAGAGGAGCTGGTGCAGTGGCTCCCTAGGAAATGTGGGGAGTCCCTGGGTGGTGCAAACAGTTACGTGCTCAGCTGCCAATGGAAAGATTGGAAGTTTGAGCCCACCCGGAGGTGCCTCAGAAGAAAGGCCTGGTGATCTTAAAAAAAAATCAGGCATTGAAAACCCTGTCAAGTGCAGTTCTACTCTCACACACATGGGGTTGCTGTGAATCAGAGTCAGCTCGCTGGCAGCTGGGTTTTGGGAAACACAGCCGGGACCACTGCCCTCCTCTTGCTTCGCACGCAGCAGCCACCCCTGCTTCCTCCTTATCTGGCCTTCCAGGAAGCCAGCTGAGGAAGTGGACTGGGGCCTGGCTTCCTGCTGGCGCTGCCACCTCCCACACGCAGCTTTTCTTGCAAAAGGCCTCGGGGTCCCCTCCAGCCCCTCTATTCAGCCAGTGAGGAGGAACAGGCGGCCTCTCACAGGGCCATCCTGGAGAAGCCACCACCCACGGACCCCAGGGTGCAAGGACAGAGTGAGACTTCCCCCAATGAGGGACCGCTGGACTCCAAGGCAGGCTGGGAGTTCCAAAGTCGGCAAGGCTAGGTGTAGCAAAGGCTCAGGCCCTGTTCTTCGTCTTCATTGCACCCACTTGGGATGGGCGGCATCAGACTGGGACTGCAGCTCCACTGCAGAGAATAGAGGGCCAGACTCTTTGTGTTTCCCAAATGAAGAGAGCTGATCTTTTTTTTTTTTTTTCCTATTGTGAAAAATGATGTGGTGGTGGCATCTGACCTCTTAACTTCACAAGGGGGAAGGAAAATCAAGATCAACAGCCCAAAGCTGATTCCTTTGAGGCAGAGGTCAGATGTACCTCCTCTGTCCAACCTTTTTTTAAATTCTGACATGAACCGTCCCTCCCACAGCAATCTCTACTTCTCTGCTAGTTCAATAATGCGTTGCAGTGGCCACACAGAACTTACAGACCATACTCACAGTTATGGGGTTTATTAGGGAAGTAACTGGGTACAGTTCAGGTTCAGGAACAACTCAGGTACAGTTCTTCAATCAGGACAGCTTCTCAGCTGTGTCTGCAGGCAGGCCTCTCTCTGGTCCTTGGCCCCTTGGCCTGGCCTCTGCCCTGCTTGGGCAGGTGTTACAAAACTGTTTCACTCTGCCTATAAGCACCCAGAGGTACTCCACTCCTCCAGGAATCCTGCCTGAAGGCGCTCAGCTCTCTTGCTCCATGGGTCAGCACGCCCACTGTAACTGCCTTGCTCCGTGGGCTGAGAAGCCCACTGCACCATCTCATACCGGTCTCTTGCCATCCCCAGTGTTACAGCTCTCTCTCTGTCTCTTGGGTCTAGGAGGTTCTCAGTGCAGGGATCCTGGGTCCAAAGGATGGGCTCTGCTCTTAGCTCTTTCTTGGTGGTAGTGAGGTTCCTCCGCTTCCACCTCTGAGATGGCTCATACGAAGCTTAGTAGGATGGCAGAACTGACCAGTCCCCTCATTAGGGTTCCATATACCTTATTTGCATGGTGCTACCCCCACAAGGGTGCTGTGTGCCTTATTTGCATTATTAGCAAGCTGTCCAATCACCTTGGTGAGCCACAGTACCTTATTTGCATAGTCCCACCCAGTCATTTGATGGGAGCTAAAAGACCATGGTGAGAAGAGCCATGTAAAAGCCATCCATTGCACTGTACCAGTTATAAAAACACTACATGTTTTTCATAGAAAAAAATTTTGGGGAATCCCTGGGTGGTGCAAGTGGTTAAACACTCAGCTACTAGCTGAAAGGTTGATAGTTCGAACCCACCCAGTGGCACCTCAGGAGACAGACCAGTGGTCTGCTTCTGAAAGGTCACAGCCTTGAAAACCCTATGGAGCAGTTCTGGCGACCCTATGTACAACAGAATGAAACGTTGCCCAGTCCTGTATCATCCTCACAATCGGCGTGTTCATGTCCATTGTTGCAGCTCCTGTGCCAGTCCATCTTAGCAAGGGTCTCCCTCGCCCTCGCTGGCCCTCTACTTCGCCAAACACGTCTTCCAGCCATTGATCCCTCCCGATAATGTTTCTGAAGCAAGTGAGCCGGACAATGTTCTGTTGTGACCCATAGAGTTCTCGTTGGCTGATTTGCGGAAGTAGATTGCTAGGCTTTTTTTCCTAGTCTATCTTAGTCTGGAAGGTCTGCTGAAATCTGTCCAGCATGAGTTACCCTGCTGGCATTTGAAATACCTGGGCATAGCTTCCAGCATCACAGCAACACACAAACCACCACAGTACCACAAAGTGACAACTGGGAGGGGGGCGATGAGGGTGGTGGCACCTTATCTGGGCAAGTGGTACATAAGAGAGTCTCATCCTTTGTTTCCCCTTAGCTGTAATAACCGCAGGCTTTCTCTGGAATGTTCCTCTCCCCTCACCTGGTGGGTTTCTGGCTTTGAAAACCTGGCTCAGGTGTTCCTGCTCAGAGCGAACTCTCCGGTTATTCTTGGCAGTCACTCTTGGTCTGGTTAGGGGTGCCCCTATGGCACAGGCGCACTCGGGCTTTAGATACAGGGCAAGCATGGCTTTGCCTCTCACTGGCTCTCTAACCTCGGGCAAGCTCCTGAGTCTCTTAGCCTCAGTTTCCTCCTGTGTAAAGTGGGCAGGATGATAGCTGTACACAACAGTGAAAACGAGGCCCTCAGTCTTCGTGTGTCAGTGTGGGTATGTCTCAGACGACAGCTGAGCCTAAAACTTTAGCAGGCCAGGAAAGGGCCTGGGCCCTGTGGCCCATTTATAACTGCAGAGGGTAGGGCCTGCCCTGGCGGGGTGCAGTGTGTGAGCAGGGTTTACAAAGAGGTGCCTGAGGTGGTCGGCCCCGGGACTAGAGAGCAACCCCTCTGAGACGGGGGTGGGGGGTGGGGTGGCGCTGTGTTCTTTCCTGAACTGGGGGACGGCGGTATTCTAGGGTCCATGAGCAAGATGTCAGGGTGCTGTGTGAGAAGTGTTGGGGCTCCATGGTCTGGGCAGTAGGCAGCCAAGGGTGGCAGAGTCTCACTGTGTCCCAAGCCCAGGGCCAGATAGGCCAGTCACACACTTTTGTTTGTCTTTTAGCTCCCCTTGTCGCTGCTGAAGACGGCCCAGAATCACCCCATGGTGAGTATGCTCCTTCAGGAGAGAGCCTTGGGGTAGGGGAGGGACACCCAGTGGTGAACTGCAGGGGGACGCCTGGGCACAGGACACCTGGATGCGAGTGAGGGACCTCCAGCCAGCTCTCTTCCTGCCTGTTGGCTACACACGGTAGCTCACACACCCCCATCCAGGCCGATGTGATTTCTGCTGGGTACAGAAGGAACACTTGTTAAAGCAGCTCGAGCAGGGGAGACACACTGGACGTTGAAGCCCTCCTCATTCCTGTGCCCCACCCCTTAGCTGGTCCCTGGGATGTGCACATCCAGCACCAGTGTGCATGGGGGTGTGCATATAGTTTCCTTTAGCATAGATGGTGTCATGCTGTGCACATTGTCACCAAACTGCTTTTGTCCCCAGCATCTGTCTGCATCAGTCCATCCTTTTCTCTTGTGAGTTTTTTTTAATTGGGATATAATTCACACGCCGTGAGGTCCAGCCTTTTACAGAGCACAATTCAGCAGCATTTAGTTTGTTCACAGGTTGTCCATCATTAACATCTAACTCAAGAACATTCTTCTCACCCTGAAAGGAAACCCCATACTCATTAGCGGTCACTCCCCATTCCCCCCACCCCCAGCCCCTTGCAGCCACTAATCTACTTTCTGTCTGTGGGTTTGCCTGTTCTGGGCATTTCATATCAATGGACTCACACAATATGTTTCCTTCTGTGGCTGGCTTCTCTCACTCAGCATCGTGTTTAAAAGGTTCGTCCATGTTGTACCATGTATCAATGCTTCATTTCTTTTTACGGCTGAGTAATATTACATTGTATGGATGGACCACATTCTGTTTATCCATTCATCTGTTGGTGGACACTCGACTGTTTCCACTTTTTGGCTGTTGTGAATAATGCTGCAGTGAACATTTATGTCACATTTTGTCTTCATTTCTCTTGAGTGTATCCCTGTTGTTGTTAGTTGCTGTATAGTCAGTTCTGACTCACGGCGACCCAGTGAGTGTAAAGTAGAACTGAGTTCCATAGGGTTTTCAAGGCTGTGGCCTTGGAAGCAGATTTCCAAACCTGTCTTCTGAGGTGCCCCTGGGTGGGTTTAAACTTTTCGGTTCATAGTTGAGCGCTTAACTGTTGGCCACCCAGGGCCCTCCCCGTAATCCCCAGAGAAGTGTAAGGAGGAAGCAAGTACCTGCCTGTGTGAGAAGGGCTACTTGGTGGTCTGGGCATGGGCTCTAGGACTTTTGTGAGGCTGGGTGGCCACCTGCAGGGTCCCTACAGGGCCCAGCCCAGCTGGCACACTGACCAGCTGGGTCTCTTCCAGCTGGTGGAGCTGAAGAATGGGGAGACCTACAACGGGCACCTGGTGAGCTGTGACAACTGGATGAACATCAACCTGCGGGAGGTCATCTGCACGTCCCGGGTGAGTGCTGCCCCCATGCCATGCCCCTCTCCACCCCTCTGCATGGTGGGGCAGCATGGCTGGGTGTGTGGACTCTGAAGGGGGCATTGGTGGGAGTGGTGTGGTTGGAGGTGCATGCTTGGGCTGGGGGCTTGCTAAGCCTCAGCCCTCACTTGCCAGTGGGGCTGCAAGCCTCTCCCTGGGGCCTATGGGCAGAGTTGGGGTGCTGCTCACATGCCCAGCACTTGTCACCCTTCTGGGCCACAGAGGTGGAGTCTGGGGTTCCAGGATGGAGGCCTGAAGGGCAAGGTCAGGCCTCCAAGGCCCTCAGAGTACCCAGACTTTGCACTTGTGGTGGTGCTGAGCAGAGTCGTGGTCAGGGGTCAGGCTACCATCCCACCTCACCTTTGTGTCTGCATCTGCCCTGACCCACCTACAGGTGCCTGTGGTTACAAGTCCTCATACTCTTGGGTGAGGCTGTTGGTGCTCTAGGGCAGGCCTGGTCCCCTGCCGGCCTCTGCTGCCTTCTGTCCAGGTTCTGGACAAGGTCCGGCCTCCGCGGAAGGCTGGAGTGGCCATGGGAGAGGCATCCAGGACATTAAGAAGTGAGACCCATAAGTGTAGGATGGGGAACGGCTCCCAGGTGTTTTGGGCCACCTGCCCTCACAGTGACCCACAGAATAACCAGTAGTGAAGGCAGCAGTTTCAGGGGAGGCATCTGCTCTCGGCCAGCCGGGGCCGGGCTGGCCTGAGTGGAGTGGCTGCTAACCCCTGGGGCTCCCTGTGCCCATGCACAGCAGGCTATAGCCGAGCTGCCCTCCCTGCCGAGGCCGCCCCTTCCCACCCCAGTCCATCCACTTGGGCTGTGTCCCATCCTGGCAGGCAGGCGTGGGACCTGAGTACCCCTAGATGCTGCCCTGTGCCCTACTTTTTCTTCATTACATGTGTTTGCATCCCCCTGAGGGCACCTGGGCCGTGTCCGGTCTGGCTGTGACAGGTAGTGCCACCAGGTGGGGTTGAGGGTACAGCTGTGTCCATTAATCAGCACACAGGGTTGCTGGGTCAGAGGCCGCAAGCAGCTGGAATTTTCTACATCGCAGGCAAGTTCTCAGTGGTTGCTGGACAGCCCCCAGGATGAGGTTCTGGCTCTTGGGCCTGCTGAGTCTGGACAGGTGGCCTCCCCTGGTAGGCCCTCCATGACTGGACAGGGCTAAGCCCATCTTCATCCGTAAATGTGACGGGTAGGAGCTGGGATGGGTTGGCCTCCCCATGCTGGGCCCAGGCCTGTCGAAGTCAAGCGAGAGCTGGGTGAGTGGCCAGCTGGGGCCTGAGCTTCAACTCAGAATCATCCTGTGTCATTGTCTGCTCTGCATGTCGGGGGAGGGACCACAGCCTACACTCCATCTGCCCCTCCTGTGCTGTAAAACAGGCCACAGCACATCTCTGCTAGGGGTGGCTCCACATCGGGATCCCCGAGACCAAGAACTCGAAGCTTCCAGGGGCAACACAGGCCAAGTGTCCATCCTGTAGATGGTGGCAGCTGCCTGGTGTTTGCCCCCGGTCCAAAGCACCCTGTGACCAGCACCTGCCCTCCCGCAGGATGGGGACAAGTTTTGGAGGATGCCGGAGTGCTACATCCGCGGCAGCACCATCAAGTACCTGCGCATCCCTGACGAGATCATCGACATGGTCAAGGATGAGGTGGTGGCCAAGGGCCGTGGGCGCGGTGGCCTGCAGCAGCAGAAGCAGCAGAAGGGCCGTGGCATGGGGGGCGCTGGGCGAGGTGGGCCTCCCTTCCCTCCCCTACTGCGTGCTCCGAGTCCGAGCTCAGTATTGACATTCCTGGCCCGTGCTGTCACTGCGTTAATGGGAGCCATGTGCCAGCCTCAGAGCCACCCCCTGACCCTGCCTGCTTACATAAAGCTTCAAGGGAGGGAGGGTGTGGGCCAGCTGAGGCTGGTGATCGTCACTACCCATGATTCCCCCCTCCCTCACCCCGTGGAGTCAGAGAGTGCCAGCAAGAGCTGAGAGCTTCCCCAAGGCCTGGACCAGCTAGGGGACCCCCACCTAGGCCTGAAAGTGCAGAAACCCTCCCCCTTCTGTTTCTCTCCTGGGCAGGGGATATGGGCAGCAGGTGGTGCTGGAGGCCTGGATCCCTGTCTCTGCCCCTCCCTCCTCTTAGAAGTTCTGGCTTTGTCCTCTCCAGTGACCCCCCACTCCAGCCCCTGGGGTGGGTCCTCTCCCCCAGGAACCCTGTCCCGAGCTGTCCTTTGTCCTCCTGGGGCACCCTCAAGGGTCCTGGTGGCTGGGTCTCCCTTGTCAAAAGAGCAGCCTTCTAGAGCACTGGCCGTATGCGGCCCGGGGTCAGTGGTTCCACCCCACATTCTCCGTTCCACCCCATGGCCCCACCTCGCAGATGAGGAAACCCGATGGGAGGGGTCAAATAGCCCGGCCCCAAGTTTTAGGGCACCGGAATCCAGTTCTAGATCCGCTGGATCCCAGGGTGGGGACTCAGAGCTCAGCGCCCAATGCAGCTCCTCTCTGTCCGCAGGTGTGTTTGGCGGCCGTGGCCGCGGCGGGATTCCGGGCACTGGCAGGGGCCAGCAGGAGAAGAAGCCGGGCCGACAGGCGGGCAAGCAGTGAGCTGCGCTTACCCAGACCACAGAGACTAGGGGGCCGCGCCCCGCCCCACCCTACCCCGCGGCGGTACCGGGCTCTCCCACCTGTTCAGAAAGAAGAGGCAGCAGGTGTCAGGAGAGTCCGGGTCGGCGTTTCCTTCCAGTCTTCTTCCTTAGGAAAAGCGCTCCCCCCCCCCTTTTTTTTAGCAGCAGTTCCAGTTGCATGCACCTCTCAATATTTTTAGTTTTGTGGAATTGTCTTGGGACCAGCTGCTGCCGGGTTCCTGGGAGTCTCGCGTGTGACATGGCCCTGAAGCCTGGTTGGTGTTTGTTTGCCCCGCGAGTAGAACAGCGCTCACGGAGGCTTCTTCCGTACCAAGCGTAGTTCCCTGCACAGTGGCGTGCAGGTTTATTTTAAGCTGGTGCACTGAAGTTAATGGCATTGGGTCCCTTAAACGCAGCCCCCAGATGGCCATTTCCAAACACATGGGAACCAGCATGTGCCCTAGAGCAGGATGGGGGATCCTATGTCGTCTTCCCAGAATAAAGTTGGAGACACTGCATGTCTAACTCCCTCCAAGTCCTGGGGCGCACCCTTGTGGCCTCCGCCTTGGGCATCTGCAGGTTGCCTGCGCCTGAGTCTCAGGATCACCTAGTGAGAGCTGCCCCTTACGGGGCTGGCTCTGGAGGTCTGCCCCTTCACCAGATTATCCTCCCAACCCCTTTCCCCCTTTATAGTGGGAGAAGCAGAGGTGATTTCACGGAGACCCCGTCCCCTAACACACGGTTGACAGCGTTCCTTTATTTGTGCGTGTTTCCTTTTCCCCATTCTGTGAACCCGGCTCACACCAGGGCTTCCCCAAAGCGTCTGTAGCCAGTGGGGCTTCGGGGGACACTCGAGCACCCTCCCCAGGACCCGCCTCTTGAGTCAGCGCTGGGGTCGCCCCTTGGCCGTCCCTGAGATTGAGCTTTGGCAAAAGGTTCCAGGCGGTGGCAGGGCACAGGGCCCTGGCTGCGTTCATGGCGGTGGAAGAGGCTGTCACTGTGCCTGTTCATTCCCTGTGGCCTGTGGGGATTGTCCCGGCCATTCCTGGAATAAACAAGTGCTGGCATGTTGATATGGAGCTCCATGTCTGGGGCCCAGAGTCCTTGTGTACATCTCCCTCCACACGTTCAATTGTTAGACCTGCTCCCAAGTGGCCCTTGCTCCCTACATTAGCGTTTCTCTGGCCCACCCTGCATGCCGGCTGACACCAGTCCTCCTAGTGACCAAGCTCCCAGCCTCACTAATCCCCCTGCATTCGTGGCAGACGCGGGCAGTGGGGGTGCCCCATGGACTAGAGTGAGTCCTCCAATAGGCCTGGTGGACTGGAGGAGAGAAGCCCCACTTCGCCCTGGGTGAGAGGTCAGCACCTGATTGGGCCGACGTGGGGGGAGATCTGGGGTCAGGCGTGGAGTCTGCCAGGGTCAGGACCTCTGTCTAGGGTCACATATCTCATGCTCGGGAGGCTCCGGCTGCTCTCAGTTCTATTGTCCCCCACCCACGAGGCTCAACCGCAACAAGGCAGCCGTCACTGCGTGCTTTCCCGGTTTGGGGGCTCGACCTGGCCCCGGTTGCAGCCAGCTGCACCTGCGTCACCGGCCCCTGGCGCCCGATGGGCACATTGCCTTGACCTTTCTAGCCGGTGGCCCGCCTCCCCACCCGTGACGCCAGCGCCCAGGCCTCCCCACTGCCGAGGTGCCGGGGACTTCCACAAGTCTCCGTCCTCGCTGCGTGGGGTGGGGGTGGGGGACAGCCCCCGGCTCAGTCTCCTTCCTGGCGGTTTTCGAGAAGCCTTGTCCGCGGCCCCTCGAGAAGAGAAACCAAAAGCACCAGTGTAGCTCAACTGGAGGCCTCTGGAGCCTTCCGGGCTCGATGCTGGTCCGTCGGGCCACGCCCTGTCACCTGGCTGGTGCGGGGCGGGACCGACTGAACAGTGTTGGGGGGGTCCCCACGAACCTCTCCCCCTTGTCTCTCCCTGGGATCTACTTGGCAGGGAGGGGAGCCCAAATGCGGAGGTGTGACTTGGCCTGGAGTTGGCCCTCCCTCCTCTCCCCTGGGGCCGCCTCCAACCAGGAGCCCAGAGTCACTTTGGGGACACAGACCTCGGGGGGTCACAGAATACGGAGGCTTTGTCCCTTTCCTGCCACATCTCCGCCCCCCCGCACACACCTGCACCTACCGCCTGGGCTGTGCTTTGCAAAGAAGGTCCCTCCCCATGAGTGTGCCGCCCCACCCTTCCCTTTCCTAGTGGCATTGTAACCCAAGTCCCAACAGCAGGCCAGGCTCCGCCTGGGCCCACTCCCTCTCTCCACCATGTGTGTCCCCAACAGGCTCAGCATGTGTCTGGGTGTCCTCCGCAGTCCCTCTGTGAAACAGGGCCGCCCAGTGCGGGTGTCTACCCAGAGGACTGGGCCAGCGGAGGCAGGGGAGTTGAGTCCTTGGCCAGGCACTGGGGACACAGCCATGAACACATAGAAGGTCAGATGATGATAAATGCCCCGGAGAAGAGGAAACCAGGGCCCAGAGACTGTGTCACTATGTGAAAGATGGTCGGGAAAGACAGAAGGTAGCACTTGGGGAAGGGTTTTGAGGGGCGAGGGAGCCAGCCCCCTAGGTGAAGTTTTCCAGGCTGAGGGAACAGCCCTGCAAAGGCCCTGTGGTAACAGGAGGACCGTGAGTGGGGCAGGGAAGGAGGAGGGGTGTGGCCCACTGAGTGATATGGGGGGCAGGGCATGGAGGGGTCTGCACAAGACAGGGCATTGATCTGCCTACTGCAGGGGCCTGGGAGGACCAAGAGTTCCAGGAGGAGGTGAGTGAGACTCAGTACAGGGGGAGGGCCCTGGAGGTGGGAGAAGGGGTTGCCCTGAGGGCCCAGGCATAGGCAGGAGGCCCCCTTGAGACACCCAGCAAGTCCTGGGATTTAAGAGCCACCAGGCGAAGGGGGAGAGCACGGGATGAGTGGGCAGGCGGAGCAGCAGGAGCAGGCCCCTGGGGCTGGAGTAGGCAAGGCCTGTTCAGGGGACACGAACTTGGGCAGGGGACTAGGGGCCAGCCAGTGGCCTCCACAAGAACCCCCCAAGCATCTGTCCTGTTTTCTTGCACCTGCATCTTACCTGACACTCCGGCACCTCAGACTTCTGGCCGATGCTCCGCTTCGCAGATGAGAGGCCAAGGGGTGGTCCCCTGTGCTCAGTCCCCCTGGCTCGGCCCTTGGGTTTCCAAAACCACCTCCAACTGGGGGGCTCACCCCAGGCCAGGTGGGGCTCAGCAACCCATTTCACAGATGAGGAAAACAAATGCTCAGAGCACAGGCACATGTTAGAAAAGCCCACGTTTATTACCGAGTGTGTGCCTGACAGCTCCTGACCTGGGGGGAGGCAGGATTTGAGTGACCTCTCCCCACCCCACCCCCAGGTCACCCAGGATTGGAACCATCGCCTTTTTGAACTTAAATGGTCCACTCCTTACCTTCTCCCACTCAGGTGTGTCATCCTCTAAATCAGGAGACTACTCAGCAGGGGTGGGGACTGATGAGGTCCCCTCCTGCTTTCAGATTTTCTCCCCCAATTGTAACATCAACCAAAGCACATGGATTGAGGCGTACAAGTGGGCCAAAGTGCCCAGGAAGCTTCGTAACTCTGCTGTGCCTCAGTTTCGCCACTGGTCAAATGCAGAGATAATAGCAACTTCACCATGAGAGGAGGATGCAGGTAACCATGTTAGAGTGGAGCCTGATATACAAGTACTCAATGAATGCTTGAAACCATCTAAGCTGTGCCTGGGGTCCTGAGCCTCACCCAGGACCCTCTTCATCCCACTCAGCTGTGGGAGTGACGTTCTAGAGGGGCCAAGAGGTCAGGCCGCTGGCCCACGGAACCCGCTTCTGGCCCAGTCCCTGCAGCTACCCACGCAGCCCAGCAATGACTCACCTCCTTGCCTCCGCTGGAACTGGGCACCGAAATAGTCGCCCAGCCTGCTCTGGGGAGTGGCTGTGGAAATAGTTCAGAGCTGTGTTCAGGGCCTAAAAATACCCCATGTGGCCCCCCTCGATTCCCTCCAACCCCTCCTTTGCCACCAGCACCCCCGGGTCCTGGCCCCCTACTCTGCGCTTTCCAGCAGGTCACATGTCAGGACAAGCAGGTCCCCTGTGCCTGTGGACGGTGGCACCTGCACCCCTAGATGTCTAGTGCCTGGGGTCAGAGGGGCCCTGCCCTGCTCAGCAGTTCTTCTTAAACACTGAACTTGCTGTGTTTAGGCGGACCCTCCCACAGCCATCTTGTCTGCCCTTTTGCTGCAGGACCTCATGTTGGGCTTTTTCTCTCCCTGGGGGGTGGACTGTCCCTGCAAGGCTCCCAAACACCCTGGATGTCGCCCCAGCAGCTCAGCCTCCTGGTCACAGGCAAAGGCCTCTGTGCCCCAAGAGGGGTCAACTCCATCCTAACCACCTCCTGGCAGCTGGAGGGATGGGGTGGGGAGCAAAGAGAGTTGGCCTCCAGCCAGGGCAAACAGCAGGTGCAAAGGCCCTGGGGCAGGTGTGTGCTAAGCTAGCATCAAGGGAATGAGGGTGGTGTCGCTGAGTATGGCCTGGCAGACAGCAGCTGCCCCTAATGGAGTCCCACCCCCATTCCCTGCCCACCTCATCCTCCCTGCGGGGAAGAGTCAACCTAGACATGTCCAGAGGGCTGGGCCACCCTGACCTCTGATACTTCATAAACCAAAAACCAAACCAAACCAAACCCGTTGCCCTCGAGTCAATTCCGACTGATAGCAACCCTATAGGACAGAGTAGAACTGCCCCATAGGGTTTCCCAAGGAGTGGCTGGTGGATTCGAACTGCCAGTCTTTTGGTTAGCAGCCGTAGCTCTTAGCCACTGCGCCACCAGTGCTCCTGATACTTCATAGGAAGTGTTTATTTTATTTTATTTTTTAATTAACTGACCTCCATACCAGGTCTTCGAACCGGTTTGTTCGGGTTCGAACCCCTAGGTGATTCTTATGTATAACTTTTTTGGAAACTTGTTGCAAATTCTCAGCAGGTGTTTGAACCGAGAACAAACTGCTTCAAAGCTCTGCTCCATACTTCATTCAGATTTCCTTAGTTTTTACCTCATGTCCTTTCTTTATTAAGTTAAATTCACATAACATAATGTCACCATTTTTAAAGTGAACAATTCAGTGGCATTGTATTCGTAAGAAACCCTGGTGGTGGTTAAGCACTCAGCTGCTAACAACAACAATTACATTCATGGGCGATGCAAACAGTTGGCCCTCAACTACTAACCCAGAGGTTGGCAGATTGAACCCATCCAGTGGTGCTTTGGAAAGAAAGGCCTGGTGATATGTTTCCATAAAGATTATAGCCAAGAAAACCCTATGGAGCTCGGTTCTACCCTGACACACATGAGGTCACTATGAGTTGGAATCAACTCCATGGCAACAGGTTTGGTTTGGGTTTAATTACATTCACAGTGTTGCACAACCACCACCTCTATCTAGTTCCAGAACATTCTCATCACCCCAAAAGGAAACCCTGGACCCATTAGCAGTCACTCCCCATTCCCCCTTCCACCAAGTCCCTGACAACCACTAATCCATTTTCTGTCTCTATGCATGTCTATTCTGGACATTTCATATAAAGGAATCATAACACTATGTGGCCTCTTGTATCTGACTTCTTTCACTCAGCACAGTGTTCATAAGGTCCATTCACTTCTCAGCATGTATCAGAACTCCATTTCTCTGAATATTACTGGCTGAGTAATATTTCATTGTGTGAACGGACTACATTTTGCTTATCCGTTCATCTGTCAGATATTTTTGACTCATAGTGACCCTATGAGTCGAAATCGACTCGATGGCAACAGGCTTGGTTTTCGGTTTGGTCAAATATTTGGGTTGTTTCCAAGATAGTGTTTATTGAGCATTTATTCTTCACCAGGTGCTGTTCTAAGTGTTTATCCCACCCTTACTCCACCCCGGCCCACCCCTGCCTTATAAGGCTATGATCAACATGCCCATTTCACAGTTGGGGAAGTAGAGGCACAGGAAGGCTAAACCAGTCTTTTACACCTTTATACTCTGGAGATGGGAATAGAGACAGGGAATGAGGAAACTAAGAGTAAAATGAGATAAATGCCATGGGGAGACCTGAGGGAGGAGACTGTTCTAGACAGGGAGTACAGCACATGCAAAGGCCCTGAGGTGGGAACCAGCCCTGGTGTGTTGGAGGGGCAACAAGGCTGGAGAGAAGGGGAGGTGGGCAGAGGCCTAGCAGGGTCTGGGATTTACCCTGAGATGGAGAGAGGGAGGGAGAGAGGGGACCTCAGCCCCCTGGGGCAGAACACAGGCCCAGCAGGACATGGGGCTCCATGGACATCTTGTGGCCCTAGCCCAAGTGGCCACCGAGGCCTTGCTCACCCCCATCCCTCATACC